TATATATATATATATATATATATATATATATATATATATATATATATATAAATATATATATATATATATATATATATATATATATATATTATAAATATATAAGGAATAAGTACTATACTAAGTACTATACTTGAATAAGTACTAAAGCTCATGGCTTCACATTTTAGTCAAGTCTTATAAGGTTGGAATTTTATCTTGTTAACTTGTATTTTTTTTTGTAAATCTAATTTATCTACAAGCATTTTTTAAAAACTATATTGACAAATCTTACCCTCTATTTTAGAAATTGTATTGACATGTCTAAAAACTGTGTGTTTCTTGAGACTAATAAAAATTATTATTATTATTATTCTGATCACTCCCATATTGATTTCAATTTAAGAGCCACTGGTAGACAGCTGTTTCAGCCTGTTGGGCATCACCAGTACTGGACAGGCCTTCCCAGATTGAAGACAAAATGTCAATAACCAAGAAAAGTACTTAATGAAAATAACTGCGTAAACGCAAGCGCGACATAAGTAGAACCACCTATTGGTGAGACCCCCAAGTGGAAGCTATCACAAATTTCTGCTACCGCAGTTGTCGATTGATTGGTCAAACCACCAACACTGACATAAAGACTTGGGTGTCACACCAATGTATAAGAAAGGTTGTAAAAAATATTTCAACATATAAAACTGTTTAATTCCCCAAAGGTATCCACAAATCATTGGAAAAATAACTTACTTGAAAATTATTCCCAAAACACACTCGAAAAGACTAGTTGTATTTTCGATATCCTCTTCGGTAGTGTCTAATCTCATAGACTTCATGAACTTGAGTATATCATTGTCATAATACTGTAACCAAGCCTTCACTAATATTGAAGTGACAAATTCCCTCACTTTCTCCGACTGATCAGAAAATCCGCAATGGAGAATGATTCGCCTTTCCGAAATCTAAAACATTCGAAAAAAATTATGCTGAAACGGACAAGGTACTCTTGCACTTTTGTTCTATTCAATTGTTATAACTAACCTTCAGGGCTCCTGTGAGTTCTGAAAGTCTTTTGAATGCCGATAACCTGACATTTGGATCAACATCTCTTGTCCTGTTGATAATGTGACGAATAACGTTTGACCTAATTGCTATTTTTTCAACACACAGTAAACGAACCTGAAAAAATATATTCAATTCATTTATTTCGGTAGAAATTCATCAAAGTTAGATTAGAAGGAAAGAAAATCCATTTTTTGTAATAAAAAATGCAAGCTAACAAGTAAGATTACGAAGTAAAAATGTCATTTTCTGTAATGAAATAAAAATGGAAACAAACAATGAATGAAGGAAATTATAAATAAAACTCACCAAAGATAGATTACATAGAAAAAAAGTCAATTTTTGTAATAAAAATGGAAGCAAACAAGTTTCATTTCGAAGAAAAATTGAAATTTTTTGTAATGAAATGAAACAAAAAAGAGAACGAATATTGAATGAGTGAAGTTATAAAAAAATCTCACCTAGTTAGGTTACAAAGAAAAAATTGGCATTTTTTGTCATAAACATGGAAACAAACAATAAATGAAATTATAAAAGAAACACCAAAGTTAGATTAGGAAGAAAAAATTGGCATTTTTTAAATAAAAAATGAATGCAAACAAGTAAGATTACCAAGAAAAAATGGCATTTTTGTAATAAAAAATGGAAGTAAACAATGCATGAATGAAATTATAAGAGAAACCTATGAAAGTTAGATTACGAAGATATTTGGCATTTTTGTAATGAAATTATAAAAAACTCACCAAATATAGATTACAGAAGAAATGTAATTTTTTCAATAAAAAATATGAAAGCAAACAATGACTGAATGTAATTATGAAAGAAAAACCAAAGTTAGATTACCAAAAATTCCTAGATCGAAGCAAAACTTGTTTGCTTCCATTTTAATTACAGGAATCGCAAATTTTTTCTTTGTAATCTAACTTAGGTGAGTATTTTATAACTTCATTCATCTTTTCTTTGTTATCCAACTTAGGTGAGTTTCTTTCATTACTTGATTAATTCATTGTGAGTTTCTTTTTTCATTTCATTACAGAAATTTTTTCTTTGTGATCTAACTTTCATTTCACTGAAAATATAGGAAAAACTGTCTCATATTTACTGCTGTTAGTCAAATTAGTAAACTGGTCTTTTACATCAGGAATATTTCATTAATTTTTATTGATAGCAGTAATAAAGATAATGATAACAACAATAATAATAATAATGATTATACTTTTTTTTTCTACAATTGACATATGAGAATATAAACCAAGGTGAGAACACTTCAAATCTGTGCAACCTATTCACAATTCAATTCTCTTAGTAATTTCCACAAAAAGCAATACATACCTTTGCAAAAATATCAGAATTCATTAAGTGTGTAAACTGGGTAATAATTTGATCATCTGGATTGGAAGGATCCTGTATACGATGTAAGGATATCACTGCTTGTTGTCTTATAGCGCTCTTTGGGTCCTAAAATGAAAATTTTCAGTACTGTGCCAAGTCATCCAAGCAGTTAAAACTTCAAACCTCTCACCTGTAATCTTATCAACAAGTTTTCCTCAAGATTATCGCACAATTCTTGGCTAACTTCTACCCCGATGAGATTATCTAAAATTTTGTTTATCAATTGGCAAGCTCTGAGTCGTACGATATCTTTGTTTGATCCAGAACACTAAAAATAATGAAATTGATGAAAAATTTTTGGAAAAACTCACTTGCGGGAAATGAATAAACTTTCAAAAGAGTATGCTAAGTCAGAACAGTAATCCAATTAAAATAAACGGTGTATTACAAAATTACAATTTATTTTCCAACATTTTATGCTCTGTAATTCTTTGGGAAGAAGTTCTTTCTATTTGGCCAATATAAAGTTTTGGGCAAGAGAAACAAGTCAACTTATATACTCCTGATCTATCCGGCACTGAAGTTTTGTCTTTATTGTTTTTGATAAATTTGCTTAAATTATTATTTGTTCTGTGAGCCGCATCCTTAGACACCTCAGAAACATTGAAAATGAAAATAATGTGAATCATGTCATAAATACCTTTGTTCTAACAGTCAGGAAAATAATGATTAAATTCACTTTTTAAGTTTTTCAAATGACTGGTAATATTAACAATTAACTTACATGATGCGAGGAGTTGAACTTTTGTCAAAGTAAAAGTATGGGTTATGAATGCTTCCATTTGTTAACATTGTGAGAACTTTCTTGAATGGTGAATAGTTTAAGGGAGTTTGGTACATGAAATCACCCACAAAAATTCAGTGAAGATTCAATATGTTTGGTGAGGCTCTGCCTTCTGCCATTAATTTTTTATGAAAGCTATAACCTTTGGTGTCATCACAGGTTGATGTAGAACGTATCAGCAAATTGTAAAGCATTCATGTTCAAGCAACAATTAGCAATACTCAAAAGAATGTTCCTTCAATAATTATAAATAAGCTACCAACTGTACTCAGTTTAAGTCAACCAATGATGATACCAAAAGTCAATCGAGAATGCCTCTGGTGTGCAAGTTTTTGTTAAAATATATTCTATGTAGGCAGCCTCATAAATATGATTCAACATAATTTGGTTTATAATTCACTTACTATCAATAAAAATGAAATGATTTCAGTCAGTAAAGGGTGCTCAACATAATCCTCTGTTTCATCTTCGCATTTCACCTGTTTAGGCTTCAATAAAAAACAAAATTTACCGAAAAAAATTATCAGTTTTTCAATAAACTTGCCACCCTTTTCTATAGTTAACATAACTGTCAGGATTTCTTTCATATCGCTGAAAAATTCTTCGTGGTTTGACTGAAAAAATGTTTGTTTACTTTTCATGTTGGTTCAAATAAATGTTAATCTCTTACTTCTTCATATAAATTCCTCAGGAGGATGGAATTTTTGTGGTGAACTGCAGCAGTGCGTTGAGAACTACTGAAAAGGTCAATCATGTCTTTTTTGGTACCATTTTTCATGATTGTATTCTTTGAAAAACACATAGCCCTGTAGAAAAATAACCGTTACTTAACCAAATTCAAATTTTAAAGTGTCAGTCGTCAGTTGTTTGTTTTGATGTGAATGTAGGCTCAAACCAATGCACATCTACCTCAGAGACATCTACTCATTGTATTATGACGAAAGGTTAGTTCAGTTAGTATACAGTATACAAAGTTTGAGTTTGAAAAATTGACATTTGAGAAAATTTTCAAGTCGAGTAGAATCAGTAAAAATATTTTCTGAATATTCTCAGCCGAATGCATATGCATCGATATACACAAGAATATGGATAGATTTCCAACCAACTCCCAATTTCACAGGCATAATACTCGTGGGGCTAATCTTTTGAGACCTCACTGGTTCAGTTTACAGAAATCCTCTGAGAAATCACTTGATGTCAAGTTGATTGGTGAGAGACACTTTCGTGCCTCTCACCCCTCACAACTAACTAAACATTCCAAACAGCTGAAACTGTGGACAAATGTTCGAGACGAGTGTACTAACATAAAAAAATTGCTAATCGAATGTACGCGGTCCACATTTTTTTGTATGAAGATAGATAAAGTGAGAGCCAATACGGTGTTTTTCCCAAAAATAATCTCTGCAAAGAAATACCCCTACGTAGCCCGTAGCCGTAACTAATTTCTATGTTGTTTTACCACTTTTATTTGCAACTAATGTTATTGCAGTTTCGTCCTATAACGACATTTTCAAACAATTACAATGAAGTGAAAATAAATCATAATGTTACCTCGTATATATCTACTGAAGGTAATAATAGAGGTCCTTAACTTAATTGAGTACCTGAAATTTGTTTACTTGTGACAATGTGGATACACTAATTTGAAAACTGGTGAGTAAACTGGATCGATTTGATCATTTAGCAGATTACCTACATCCGCAATGCTTATGCTAATGAATTTCTAAAGATTCCAAATGATTGAGTTTCCAACCCTTGCTTGCATAGTGCAAAATTTCCGTATCGTTTAGATTCGTGAACTTATAGTTGCATTCCAAAGAATGGTTTGAAAACATCGAATTATTTTTACCTAGTCTGAAGGACTTTTCATGTTCAGCATACCGTTTAGAGAAATTTTGATCACACTGTCCCATATAAATACTATTACACAACGGACATTTGAGCTTATAAACTCCAGATTTCTCACTCTTGTCCACTTTACCTTTGGAATTAAAAAAGAAATTATATAGATAACCTAGCAGGTGACCTGAATGCCGCTTCCACATTGTTTTTTCTGAAAAATCCGGCAATTGCCTCTGTTCATTCGCCAAAATATGTTAGAGTTACAAATTTTACGATTTCTGGTTGTTTGATCTGAGGGTATATTGATCTGTAAGTAAATTTGAGGCTTTGTTTTCTGACTAACTTCAGGATTGTGTCTGCAATGAAACCATAATTCTGTTATATCTGTATAATTATTTTAATTTCCCTATCTAGATTGTTAGCAGATGAAGGTAGGTAGCGATAATGCTCTGTGCAATATTGAATTGTAGGATGCTAATTTATGTCTGTCAGGATGGAAATAATCACTTAAGATTGTAATGTCTGTATAGCTCGGGTTTCTATATAGGTACATTGAACTTGAATTTATTCTGATTATGTGTAATGGTCGGGCCTGCGAAATTATTCCGTTTATCATTCATAAATGCCATGAATTAGTTCAGCTGTCGTGTAGTACCTTTGAAACAGGAGGGAATATCTTGCAAAAAATGTATATGCAATACGTAAAAAATTTAAAATCCACTTTTTGCTAAAATTTTCAATCACATAATTTGTTATTCAGTACCTATTCTCATTGTATAAAAAATAGTTTGATCTGGAATAACTATATTTAGAAATTGTGCTAGAATTTGTTACCTGCATCGATTCTGCATGTAACTTTCTACAATTGTATCACATTGTGAAATTTGACGACAATTATTACCAATTTTTGCAAAGTTACGCCACTGCAACTACCTTGGCAAACAATTTGCAAGTCGCGATTCGCCTTCGTCCAGTGTTTGCTTCAGCGTTGCCAGATGCAGATAGATTTATCTAGTTTTGAAGAATTTGATCATAACTTGAGGAAATCATGATTTTCTGTTCTCATTATGAAAAATTCACAAAAAATTTGAAGTCAACAAAGACCAGCCTTCAAATATAATATTTAGTTGAAATCTTTATTCAACCACATCATGCAAACCGCAGACATAGTAAAATTGTGGAGCATTTTTTCTATCATGACAAATAATCTACCATGACTAGAGTCGATTGTATTATTGTCGATGATCAAAATTCCACATCAATTATTTCAAAGAATAAAAAAATACATGCGTCTTCCGTAAATATCATCTGGCAACACGGGTTTGGTCATAAACAGTTAACAAACTAATCGCCGGCTTTATTGCATCAGAAAACAGAATAACAGAATACTGATAAGTTATAAGTTGGCGATCTTCGGTGAATGAGTTTCAGTAGAAAACAGTGTTAAGTGTGAATTGTCTTCATGAGAAAATCCTAAAAAAAACTTCGCAATTATCAATTTAGTTGACAGGTAAAACTCTTTCATTCATTTTGTCATCAGTGAAACAGAAAAATTATAAGTATTAGTTGTGAACTCATAGGTGAAATATTGTTATTCGATAAGCATCGAGGTCGTCAGTAAATTTGGAGTCACATATACTAAAAAAATCTGTGCTTGTCCGTACGACAGAGGCGCACCCAATATTGTTTTTAAGTCACTTGGTTTTCTACAATATGTAAACAATATTGGTTGATTTTGAGTATTGTGGAAAATGTTTTTTCTAAAGAAATTAGTTATGGCTCATTGAATACTTTTTGTTTGATTATTTGCAATTTCGCTAATTCAATCATCAGTTATTATTATACAAATATATAAAGTGATGAACATGAGATTATAAACATAAACATGAGATTATAAAACAACAACAAAAATTAATTGGCGCTCCGGGGCGACTTCATTGATTTTAGTGGCGCATTTGCTTTTTCAGCTGCAGGAAAACCCGGAAAAACCTGCAGCACCACATCATCTGGAGATCTTGATCTGCCAAAGTCATCTCTTAAAACAAAATGTAGGGTATCTCCAGAGGCTCCAACAAATTCAATACATCGCCAGAACACTTCGTGACACGACTATCATCAAACCTAAACCACTCCGTTTCGTCTTTGACAAAGGCGTAATAATGCCCAGATTCAACGTCACAACCACAGTGAACAATGACTGCATGAAGATTATAATAGTGGTCTGCTAGATTGAAGTGTTCATTGATTTGGAACCTTCGTAAGAGTTTGGTGCTTCCGTCAGAGGTTGAGTCATGTTTGAAGATCATCAGTGTTATTATTGGATTGACTGGTGTCTCAGTCAGTGAGATGATTTAACAATAAGCTTTGCTCATTACTGGAAAAGCATGATTATTATCTTCGAGATGAAGTTGTGTAGTATCCAGAACTGAGTTAATTTTGGCAACTCAAAACAAGCTACGATTTTCTAAAATATATAAAAAAATTGCAAAAATTGGTGTATTTTATATGCGACGAAAAGTAGCATCAAATGTTCATTTTCTGTTAATCTGGATATGAAGCAAAAAATCGTTCAAGAATTCTTCAGTAAGTAATACACCTCACATTCGACTTTTGATAATTATGAGTGTAATGTAATTTCGAATTATACACAATTAAACCATCACGTCTCAAATACATCTCTGAGGTGATTTCGAATTATTTAAATATTAACTTGCCCTCGTAATTCAATTTTGAAATGTTGCATTTGAGCTACTGACAAATCTACGACGTCGGAAGATAGTTACATTTTTTCAACAATCTGGCAAACACGCATTTGATAATTCGTAGTTCTTCTGATCCATGCTGCGTATTATTCAATATTTGTTCAGTTTCTATTTTGTCCCCTCCAAAGTAGTGTCCCTCAGATATAATATACTTATGCCAACTTTTTTTTAATCCTCGAAGCAATCCTGATATGCCATCTTTGGCATATCCTTGAGCTCTCCCAAGGATTCGTTTCATATCTCCTCAATCGTCGCAAAACGCCATCCTTTCATGGGTTTCTCAATCTTGGGAATAGAAAAAAGTCGCCGGGGGTCAAATCTGGTGAACAAAATGGCTGAGACAACCGCCACACACACAGACACTCTTGTTTGAAAGTGGTTGACAATATTTCATGGTGAATTTCATTAGTTGGGACTTCCACTTTCGAGACGAGCACCAACATATAAAATTAAAGAAATCGCTAATCGAATGTACGTAGCCTTCGTAATTTGAAAATTCACCTTATTTTTTGAACAAACCTCGTAGTTTGTCTAATTTTTTATCGTCATCAAGTATCTTCATGCAATTCCAATTCCGTTTTGGAATGCACTAAATTTATACTCTTGGAAAAATATGAAGTCTAGAATTTTCTTCGTGAAAAGGTACAATATTTGAATTGAAGGTAACAGGCTCAACTGAAGGGATGCATGCAGAAGGCCCTGAATATTATAACAAGATGGACCGAAGAGGTGGGCTTAACATAAGCCCATCTAAATCGACCATAGGACCAAGAGGACTAAAACGGAGGATCTCGGACCTCTAAAACTTCGAGGTGAAGAAATACAAGTGTCGGGGGAGGTTAAAAATCTGGGAGTAATTCTAGATTCCAAACTGACCTGAAACCAACACTTGGACAGGATACAGAGAAAAGCGGAGGTAGCACTGATGCTCGCCAAACGCACCTATGGAAAAACATGGGGGCTAAAACCAGACATGGTATATTGGCTATACACGATGGTGGTTAAACCCATGATAACATACGCATCTCTGGTCTGGTAGCCAAAGATGAAGCAGGCGACCGCTATCAACAAACTAGGCATGGTGCAAAGACTTGCATGTTTGGGAATGATGGAAGCAATGAGAACTATCCCAATAGCTGCATTGGAGACACTCCTGAATCTACCTCCTTTACACTTTGTGATAAGGGGGGAGGCCAGGATGGGCCAATTCAGACTGGAAAACTCACCGAACTACAAAAGATCGGACTGAACAGAAATTTCGGAATAAGTGGAGAAGCACATATGTGAATATGACACCGAAGTACACCTTTAACACAAACTTCACGGCCAAAATCATAAGTAGTGAAGAGTGGAAGACCATTAGTCATCCCGAAAACATGTTTGGAAAAAACACCCGGTATACAGATGGATCGACGACCAAACATGGAACGGGAGCTGGAATAGGTATACCTAGCTATCCGCTAGGATTATACACATCCGTCTTTCAGGCGGAAGTGTATTATGCTATCTTGCAGTGTGCAAGGTTTATTGAATTGAGACCTCAAAGAAATGAGCGGATCAATATTTTAACAGACAGCAAGAGCGCATTAGGGGCTCTGACAAACCCGAAGGTGACATCAAAACTGGTCTGGGAATGCCATGAAGAACTGAATGAACTTGCAAACAGGAACAAATTAACTTTGTACTGAGTGACGCGGATCATCAACTTCATATATAGGTCCTGAACCAGCTCTGGGGGTAGAAAAATCATTGGTACGAAACCAGGTTAGGACATGGACCAATAAGAAGCACATATAGGACTGGACAAAAGTACCTGGCAACAAACAAAGTAGAACCTAGAACCTCCATTAGGGAACCGTCCGAGAAAATAACCGAAGAACTACTTCAATAAGTAGGGGTCGGCTCAGAATAATTACAGGGTTTCTAACCGGTCATTGTCCGCTTAGAGGACACCTGAATAAAATGGGGCTGTACAACGGAGACCTCAGCTGCAGATTATGCAACGAAGGGATAGAAACAGCTCTACACATCTTATGCGAATGTGAGGCACTGAATCACAGGAGGCAGGCAATATATGGACGTACGAAATTACGTCCAGAAGAATATGACGAACATCCAACACGGAACTAGTACAGGAAACGAGACTGATGGAATGGGTGTCATGGGAAAATGGGAGAATGAAAGCAAGAAGCCCAAGAGGCTGCGGGGTTTTCTGGAGACTTGGACTAAATGGACAAGTCAGACAGCTCCCAAGGTACCAAAAAAAAGGCTCAACTAATAATGCTGCTACAAGATATTCAATATGGCTGTACAAATCTTCAAAATGTCCATCAAACTATAATTATTTGATCCTCACATTTTTTGTATAAAGAAATTATAGTTTCCATTAAAGAATAATATACCGATCACTAGACTATCAAATCTAATTTCGAGGATCTGTGGTAAAAAAATTCTGAACAAATTGGATTATTTTCTCACCTATATCAACTCAGTGAAATTATAATTACGGAAACTATTTTCAATGTTAGATCGGATATGATCAAACGGAATCTATTAGAAAATCGTTACGCCACACAAGTCTGTGCCAAAGAAATGAAAAGATATTGATCGAACATGAAAATTCAAATCCGGTTCGAAGGACCAATTAACGATGTGAAATTTTGATGGTATTTAAATCATTTGAGCGGTCCTTATGACAGAAACGTACGTTTATTTTAGATAATAAATTTCAAATTGGTTCTGGATGAGTTCATTTTTGGTTCTGCTTTAAATCTAGCCAACCATTGTTTCAAACTTCATACAGGGCGTTGAAACGAACACTTGACCCCCATGTAAGTCAGAAATGGACGTGTAATCGAAGATTTCAAAGAACACATCAATTTTCATTTCTAGGCATTCCCGAACAATTCTCTGTCGCAGGTCTTCTGTTTAATGTATTGATGGCTCATGGTGTGGTCTGGATGATTCGTATTATAATTCTTGCAGCAGCTTTATCACATTCATTATTTCGATAATAGGTTGCAACAATTTCTATTATTTCTTCAGTAGAATAAACCATGTTGGAACACAGTGAACAAGGATGACTGAATAATAATTCTTGAAGAAGTGACAGTGGCCAACTATCTACTTAGTTTCGTGGTGGCTGTGGTAGTGGACGGATGTGCTGATAACGTCCGCCCACAAAGAAGGTATAGTCGAAGTAACCGATATAGTAACCTTAAAGGTGTTGGCGAAGTCAAAGGCCAAAAAAACCAATACAAAGGAATTATGCCGCAATGAATTAGTCCACGTGGACTGAAGAATTTGCGGTTCGTATTGGATAATTTTTACTAACCGAGATTTATGATTGGCTGAAGAGTAATAAAATTAAATTTGAAGTCATGTTACGATGACCAACAGAATGTAGCGATGAGTACCGCCGTTGTGTCGTCAATGTTCAGTTCAGGAACTGATCGCGATTTGAGTGTTGAAATTCGATATTGGTGAAGTTATAATTACTTAAAATTTTTGTTATTTGTTTAAAATGTGGCGTCCTTGGACAAGTACTAATAGTAATAACGAGTGTGATAACAACGCACACTTTTTGCTGTGTAGTGATTCCAATAGCGATGGTGAACAATGCGAAAAAGAAATACCAGTGAATAAGATTCGGATGCATTTGAATATTAAAACACAGAGAGTATGTTTCAATGTATATAAGAATCTACATACCAAGTTTGGTTTCGAGGGAAAAAAACTATTACAAGCAACATCAGATTTGACTGAAATTCCTTTTTCAACTGTACGTAAAATAGTCAAAAACAAACCTTATGGACGCAAGACGCGATTTGATGCGGGATTACCAGAACCTTTAGATGTTCATCTAATAAAATCATAAAAAAAACAATAAACGACTGTTACACAAGCAATGAGATTCCTACAATTGAAATAATGAGGAAGAAATTGAATACTTCCGGCCATAACGTGAGCTGCTGTGACAAAACTCTTCAGAATTGGATAAAGAAACTAGTATTTAGATTTAAAATAATATACAAACGTCAGGCAGTTATGGAAAGCAGAAGAATAGTGGAATTGCGTAACAAATACTTAAAACAAATAACTAAATATAGACAAGAACAACGGCAAATTTTCTATTTGGACGAAACTTGGTATGACACTCACGACTCAGTTACGAAAGGGTGGACTGATGATTCGAGAATGTGTACGCCTAACATGCCTGCAAACAAAGTATCGCGACTTATCATTGTGCATTGCGGGGAGGAAGTAAAGGATTGGTTCCGAATTCTTTGAAATTATGTGGAAAAAAATTGGGGACCGCAAAGTTGACTATCATAAGAACATGGAAGCTAATATTTTTGAGGAATGGTTTGAAAACACATTGATCCCAAATTTGGATGCGAATAGTGTAAAAGCTCTTTCGAGGAAAGATGAAGTACAAAGCTTTTTAATGGATAACAATTTGTATTTTGAAGATAACTATACCAAAAACCAACTACTTGAAGTTTTACAGATAAAAACATTTGAAAAAGTGTATGCCCTTGAGAGTATTGCTGAAAAGTGTGGACACACCATATTGAGACGTTCCCCCTATTTTTGTGTTTTCAATCTCATCGAGTTGATTTGGGGAAAATTGAAACAAAGCATCAGGCGTAAAAATAATTTTCCAAAATTTGATAAGAAGGTAATAGAGCTAGTTAAAGAAGAAGTATCTAATATTACCGAAGAAGACTGGCAGAAACGGATTAAAAAAGTAATTTTAGTTGAAAAAGACTATATGGAGATTGGTCACTTCCATATCAATGGTGGAAATGAATTCATTATTGATTTAAATGACGACAGTGATAGTGAAACGGAGAATATGGGAAAGGAAATATCTGAAGCTAAGCTTTCGAAGAAAGTTAGTGAAGTGTTTTTGAAGCGATCGATTGTATATATATATATATGACCCCTTTATTCACGCCGGTATCCAGGCCGGGGTGGTTCAGATAACCACGTAAAGGGGGCTGTATATGTGAAAAAAAAACCAAAAGGTCTCCCAAGCAGGAAGCGGCTCTATAAAAACCAAATTGTTTTTATTAATCAAGAATTGTTTTTATAATGAAAAAAAGAAGTTGGAAAAGAATGTGTTGCAGCATTGCTTCGTGCAAGACCACTGCGCCCCCGACCAAGCTCCTGTTAACTAACAGGAGGAACATTGGTCAAATGCTCCTGACGATAGGAAGCCACGACCATCCAAAAGAGAGAGAGAGAGAGAGAGAGAGAACTATCTACTTTTTATTCTGCGACAACTAGATTCAACAAAAACTTTCAATGCAGAAAAAACAAACAGTGTCGTTCATTTCAAAACGTTTACTACTAATTAAATAAATTCTACAAATCTAGAAGACCTGCGACAGAGAATTGTTCGTGAATGCCGATTTCCGACTCCGGACATCTTCAATAAAGTGGACTGTATTATTGTATGGAACTAGATGGAGGTCATTTTGAACATTTTATCCATTGATTGTGTTACCATCAATATTACTTTTGTTGATTTCCTCAATTAAATGAGCTACAGCGAATTTTCTGTTTTTTATTAAATAAAACGTTCAGCATTTATTATCTCAATAACGAATGAACCATATTGGAAGCAAATAACAGAAGTAATATAATGACAAAAAATCTTTCGAATGATGTATCACTCAACCCCCCATGCCATTGAAAAAATAGGGGGGTAGTTGCTGACCGCAGAGGGCTGAAGTTTTGGATATGATTTCCATAACACAATTAGTTCCCCTAGAAATACAAATTGACATGTTCTTTGAAATTTTCGATTACACGTCCGTTTTTGACTTAGAGGGGCGATCAAGTTTACATTGGAACGCCCTGTCTATTTCGATCTTAATCACCTAGGTTAACAGTTTGCCATCTAGTTTATAAATAAGTTTTACCAAAGATTGATGTTAATTGATGACATTTGATTTTTTTTCAGCTAGGCTATCAAAGGCCTCGATAAATTTTGTGACTGCCAGTTCATCACATTTTTGGTTCCATCATGGACAAAATCAAAACGATAGCGTGTGTTGACACCAGTACTTCCACCAGAGGTGATGTAAAATATTATAGCAAAGTAAATTCTCTCATTAGAGATGCTTTCAAAATCATTACATGGAACTCCGGTGCAGAAGAAGTAAACAACAATGTTTTGGATGAATATCAAGCATGTGGTTATACTCTACCCCAAGCATTTTTGGAAATACTGAAGACATATGATTTCAAATATCAGCTTCTAGTAACAACAGACGGGCAAGTATGTGACCACGACATTGGTATATGCGAATCCATACTGCAGAGCAGTAATATACTGGACAACATTGAACACTTCAAGATATACTATATTGGAGAAGAAGTGCAAATGAATATGAAGTTGGATAATTTATTCACTTCTCCAAAGTTCAACAAAGAAATTTTCATCAATGAGAAAGTTAGTTGTACAGTCGACATCAACATAGATTTTGATAAGATTTGTGTTGAAGATATAATAGAAAAGAATGATTTCAAAGCTAGTATCATCTCTCGTTTATCCAGATTTCCCGAAAAAAGATTACAGCTTCGTTCTGAAGTGTGTAAACTGACCAAAAGACTTTTGAACCAGCTGGTCGACAAAAATGTGTCCATAAAAGAATTTTTCGACAATAAAGACGTGGACGGGTGTATAACGTTTATTAAAAACAGTCCACCAAGCGATAAAAAAGTTCTACAGCAAAAGATATCAGACATATTGAACTTGTTCAAGAATAATACCGATATATACACGTTGTCACACTTGTCTAATACTCGCACTTTGCACAAGGTGGACGTGTCAGTTCCTCTTGAAGGGGAGGATTTCGAAAATGATGAGGATATTGAAGAGGGTGACAATGCGATGTTTTGCGACATCATGTTCACCAAATGTACCCATTTGTGTCTCTTGATTAGAAATCCCAAAGAGAATATAATTCCAGATTTAATCAGCAAGCAAATATCCATCCATCCATTTTTGACTCTAAGTCATGAGGATATTATCAAGAAAATAGTTGATTTGGTGGAATACCAACAGATTGATCTGAGTAGTTACTCCCAGCTGGAAAATAAATTCATATCCCCATTCACGAGGCATCCTCTCAAAGGCGTCTACATATTCAACAGTGGAACTACTGACGATCTAAACTTCGAGCTCATCAAGAAAAACAATAACAGAGCTATCTCTGTTATTTTCGGCTCTGGTAACAAACTCCCCGGAAACAAAGATATTTGGAATGTCCTCTTCCTTTACATTCTTATGAAGCATCATCCCAAATGGAAGAACGAATCGGAAATCTTCAAGAGAGAGATAAGATATATATCGGAAAAAACAAAATCTTTCTTGAGTCTGAGCCCTCTGCTAGACCCTAATATAATAGATCAACTAAACGTTTGTCTCTGGTACGTTGTAAATGTATCCCATAAAATATTCCCAAACTCGTCCAAGAATATATTGAGAGAAATGGGGGCAAGTTCGCAGAGCTTCCTTGATTTTTATTCCGAAGTATTCGATACCGTTAATGAAGAAATATATACTGCAAATAAATCCTGGCTCGTCTGGAATTATATGGTGCAACAGAAGTCGGACAGAAAGAAGTTGAAGGGCGAAGTACTGGCTCAATACCAGAATCATAAAGAAATCAATGGCTCGCTGGTGTTTTTTTCCGGTCCTTGTGAGAAGAGGTATGAGTCATTTTTGAATACTTTACCCGTTGAAAAAGTATTGGGGCTGTACAGTATTCTCTCTGTTCGTTCAGGGAAATTCGACGAAGTCTATGTTCCAGATACGCCTCCAAATGTCACAATTGTGAATATTCTTGATACACTCGAGAATTTTGAGACATCACAACACGTAGTCATATGTTTAAAGACTTGCCAGCTTACTATAATTTGTCCAGTGACTGGAAAATATTGGAAGGAATGTGCAGGGAACTACAACGTAAAAAACGCTTCATATTTCAGAACTTTCAGGGACTATTGCATAAAAAAGAAAAAGTACCCCAGAGACGAGTACGATTTGATCACTTATCACAGTGACAAACATTATAATAGATGCTCAGAATTCTTGATTTATCCGTCTTATATACTAGAAGAATTTGGATTAGTTATGAGAAAATTCGAGAATGTCATGAAAATGTATCCCGTTGAAGAGTATCTTAAAATATCGAATGCGAACAACTCCGAAGTGGATCGTCTAGTCACTGAAAATTTATGTGACTTTGAGTCCTGTAATCATCTACGAAATGTACCGTGTAATATCCCACTTGGACATAGTCGAAACAAGGATTCATTTTCAAAGTGACATGTTGAAGGTTATACTAGTATTTCAATGGGCAGTTTCAGATCCATTTCTTGAATGGAAAAACTCAAATGACCTTTTATATTGGACTTCATGATAACAAACGAAACGAACGTTTGTTTGAAGGTGGTTGACAATGTTTCGTGGTGTATTTCATCAGTTCGGACTTCCATTGTCTAATATAATATAATTTGATTTGAAATCCCTGAAAAAAAATTGAAAAGATTAACCGAAAAAAACAATTTTATTATATTGCAAATAGGTGTTAAAAAATATAGGAAATAGAAACGGGCTAGTGTGTAAATTCATATCATATCTGTAAAAATAAAATAAACATGTAACATTAATTCATTCTTATTGAATAGAGAATAACAGAGATCTGAGATTGGTTGGGGTAATGTTGATGAGTCCAAACATGCTCTGTTATTCCGGATTTACTGGTTTCTCAAGACACGCCCGAGGAAGCCATTGTATGGTGAAACACGTGTTGCGTTTTTGTAATCAAGTAAGAAATTACAAAGAAATAACATACGAGCAACAACCAAAAAACAAAAAAATTGAACTATCAACACGAGAAAAAAAAATTAAAAGATTTCAAACCAAGTTACGTCACGACGTTTCGATTGTTAGTATCCACAATCGTCTTCGGGTGATAATTGGACTTATTCCTCCGAGATCTAACTATTTATAGGTCATTCGAGTGCTTTCACCTATCCCCTCTTTCCGCTTCATTGGTTTTAGCGGGAGATGACCGTTTGGCGGGAGTTGGTCGTTTTTCGCTTGATTAGAGGTTTCTATATGTCACGTATCTCTACGCCTGCTTGACTAAATACGTTGTTGGACAACATATACGCGGTTTCTTTGAATTTTCTTCTGAACCAGTGTTCCTTTTTGTGGATGATTTTAGCTTGACCCCACTTGATATTCATTTATTCATTTATCCTGAATATATACAGACAGAGTCCAATTGCATATACACAGTACCTAAACTACACTAAACCTAACACATATATAGATAAAAAGATACAATTGACAATAAAATTATAAATATAAAATCCCTATAATGAAATATACAAAATCATTGCAAATAGGTGTTAAAAAATATAGGAAATAGAAACGGGCTAGTGTGTAAATTCATATCATATCTGTAAAAATAAAATAAACATGTAACATTAATTCATTCTTATTGAATAGAGAATAACAGAGATCTGAGATTGGTTGGGGTAATGTTGATGAGTCCAAACATGCTCTGTTATTCCGGATTTACTGGTTTCTCAAGACACGCCCGAGGAAGCCATTGTATGGCGAAACACGTGTTGCGTTTTTGTAAAACTATCTAGTGAAAATCACACAATAAAGTGTTTTTAGAATACGTTAATAAAATTGTTATTTTCGGTTAATATTTTTAATTTTTTTTCAGGGTTTTCAAATAAATTTATATTATATTAGACAGTGGAAGTCTGAACTGATGAAATAAACGAAACGAAAATATCAGATATCATGAAAAATCATGAAGCCAAATACTAATTTTTGGTAGCTAGCTATTCAGTCCAGTCATATTAGGGGTTTCACCTCCAAATTGAATAGAGTCAGCTATGCAGTTGTACAAACCTTCATTTTGACACCATGAAACATGCTTATTGTAGGGTGATCGATACTACCGATATCTCAGGTCAAACGTAAAAAATATCGACTTTTCCAAGTATTGCAAATACAAATATTTCGTATCCTATGGGGTTTATGCTATTAGTATTCATTATAGAGGGCAAACAGAGGGCAGTGTATCATCCGAGGTGAACCGGTAATCACGATTAAAAACATGTCTTATAAAGTCTATAAATTATTGATAAATATATAATTTTAATTTGCATTTTTTTCAACTATTACGTTACATTCAATTTTTTTTAACAATTTAATATCTATTCATTTAATAACGCTTACCTACTCGTGGAACCAAAAGGTTTGTTCTGGTTCTAACATCGGAAACTGTTTGGAAACTACGCAAGACATGATCCGTACAAGCAAAAAATCTCAAACAGTCCGAAATATTCTCGGGAACTTGGTTAAACCAAAACACATTTTGGGAGAGACCACTGTGCCACCTATCGTATATAAGATAGATAGATAGATGAAGAGATGAAGACGAGAAAATACTGTTGATCATGTCCATTTTGTTATGTAGAATATCTTTGTAGTCAGTTCAAATGTTATCTAACCTCAATCATCAATTATTTAAATAAAATAAATAAAAAAACATCCCAGAAAATAGCCCAAACAAATGTTCACATGAATGCGCATGAGCAACGGAAATAGTTCTCAACAGTTCAGCCTCGAAAGCAAGAACGATTCGAGATGGATCAAGACAGTTTAGGATTATTTCGCAGTCGAAACCAGAACATGATTCATCAATCCGAACTCATCCTCAATAAACCAGAACGCTCTATATCAACTGCGCGTTATCCTGACGTCCTAGAACCTGAATTTCGTATAACCAGAACAAATCTGAAAAGTTATCGAGGAAAATACTTTAATTACATCTTGAGTAGAAAATGATAATCCGTAAACAAAAAAACATGTCAAGGATATAGCGGATGGTCATATCAGTGAAACAGCTATTGATACCTTTGATCTCGAAATCCTGGAAGAACTGGAGACATACCAATGTCATTGAAGACGAGAACGAAAAGAAATTTGAAATTGCACAGCGAGTGGAAGACGATAAAGAAGAAGAAGAAGAAGAAAATTAAATTAAACCTTGTAATTCTTATTATTCTTCTTCTTTAATTCTTTTTTATTTTAAACGTTCATGAATGTACGGAATGGTCATTTTTTAATGAAAACATCAATCGAAAATTCATTTCTTTTCTTCTCTCTGACCTCTATTTCAAAAATGGTCCAAGATTAAAAAAAAAAAATTAAACAAACGTTTTAGATAATTCAACTCTCTACAGAATTCATAATAAATACTTATAGCATAAACCCCATAGGAAACGAGATACTTGTATTTGCAATAATTTGGAAAAACTATCTGGTTTAAGATATGAAAACGGTGTAGAGAATTTAATCCTCTACCAATAGCATTAAAACTATAGGAAACGAGATATTTGTATTTGCAATAATTTGTAAAAACTCTCTGGTTTTAGATATGAAAGAGGTGTAGAGAATTCAATCCTCTACAAATAGCATTAAACCCATCGGAAACGAGTTATTTGAAAGACTATGCGAAAACATTGATTTTTTTCAACCTCTGACATCGGTAGTCGTAGTAACCTCAAGATAAGTAGGTTTTGAGACAAGTTGTAGGGTGTCAAAATGAAGGTTTATATAAGTTATGGCTGACTATTTCCAATTACGAGATCAGCTCAGAGAAATGAATTAATCAATATAGTCATAAGTTGTTTTCAGGATAGATTTCAGGAATTCACATTGTAGAGAACTCTTTTCCTACTGTTGAAGTTTCGTTTTTGTAAACTTTTTTTGCTTATTGTTCATCATTGTTTTGTTTTTGCGGTGAATGATTCATCCATTTCAATTAACGAAATACTCATTATCAATCCTGATTTTTTTATACAATTATCTTTAAGAATCTCAGAAAAATATTCAAAATCGGAGAGCCTGAAAATCATGAGATGGACCTGCGAGTACCCCAGGAATCGATTTTGGTTCCTTTTATTTTTAGGTTTTCATAAACGATTTATCTCACCATATTAGTTCAAATTCCGTAGTGTTTATATGTGAAATCTGGGACATAAGCTTAGGTAATTTAATTCATTACAAGCTCAGGTAAAACTCAGGTACTTAAAATTGTAAAATTAGGTATATTAAGCATTGAATATGTAGAATATAGTTATAGTCTATTTCAAAAGAGTGTAGAGTAATAAATCATGAAGTGTCATAAAATTTGCCTGAATTTCGTTGTCGTCCATGGGCGTAGGCAAATCTTAGGATTATTAAACGTAATAATTAAAGTAAATTAAAAATTACAGACATAGATAATAATAAAAGGCCATTTTTGGGAAGTAATTTGGTCTAAAACTAAGTACCTACATGTATTTAGGTAAGTAAAATTTCTTAAAAAAAGATTAAGATTAATTTTAGTGGTTCTTGTAAACTTATTTAATATGCAATTTGGGTTCATATACTTGAGCATGATTTCTCAAAAAAGGGTTAACACTTAGTTCCGAGGTGCCATGTCATTATAATAATCCCTTTTTGACCCTGCCCACCAATCATGCAATACCTATTANACGTTAAGGGAAGTTCACAGTTTTAGTATTGTTCAAGTGTCAAATTGTAATAACGTATCCAGTAAAGTTCTTGTCGTTTTTGTGAATAAATTGATTTAAAGTCCCCACAAGTGTTTCAATACGTAAAGTTCGTTCGTGTGTGTTTGTGAGTATTTCCCGATTTCGGTTCGTATATATTTTATTGTTACATTTTATATTTTTTTAATAACACTGTTCTGCTGTATTAAATTTTTATTTCCTTTAATATAATTTTTATGAATGCATATTCTTTTGGCAATTATCCCACTAGCGCGCCTCTGGCTCAGTATTTATCCGTCGATAACAATGGACAAATCCCTTAAAACAGGGTGATACCTACCTGCTCTTTATGAAACGACATAATTTTGCAATGCGGACTAGGGAAGTGACAGAATTTATTGACGGATCACCCTGTAGCGCTTTTGATTACTTAATGAGATTTTATTACTCTACACTCTTTTGAAATAGACTATAGTAAAGACAAGCCCGAAGAAGTACGGTCAGAAGTACGGCGAAACACGTGTCATACCTTTCAACGTGTGATTCCTAACACGGGTTGGACGATAGCAAGTGAAAATCGATCGTTCAGACTGGGACTTGAACCACCGATCAACACGGCAGTCAATTCAAGTGAGTGAACAAAGCACTCACGTCGAACCGTCTGGCTATTATCCAAAATATGAAATTCAAACACTGTCATGTATATATTTTTTCAAACGTATACTGTTATTCGAGCAACACGATGACATGTATCAGACAGGTTTACAGTGCCATAACTACCTCATCAGAATTCCTGAACACAGAGTATCATTTTACAAAGAGCTGGTCAAATAGAGGATGACATTTTTCAATAATTTCAATAATCTGAGAGAATTGCGAAATTGTAACTCGTTCAAACCAAAACTCACTGAATATTCGCAGGA